TTCCGTGCCATCGACCCGTTCAACGAATTGAGCTTTTTGGGGCGATTGAGCTCAATCAATCGTACACCGTAGAGGGAGCTGAATAGGACATCGTCGGGCTCGTCTCCGGGGAGTTCTTTGGGGAGTTCGGGGGCAGTCGACATCTATACACCTCAATTAGAACCATAAACCTCAGACAGACTCAAGCTATAGGGAATACCTTTGCAGCAGCCCCGAATGCTGGATTCGTCACTTTGGCGCGGAGAGGCATTGGTGGTGAAACCCGCGAGATCCAGCTCGCCGGCGTTGGTAAGCGGCAGAAACTGCGTCGAAGTAACATCTAGGCAGACGACAGTTCGTCGTTGAGGAGAAAGCGACAATGAATGGAAATGGAGAAAGTTAGTGCTTATGACTCGGGAAAGAATGTCGTTTCTCCGCTTTGGATGGACGCTAGACCTCGGAGTTTTTCGCGCTGATTGATTTTCCTCCGCCGGCAGCTTGGACAAGATGGACGGTTTTGCTGCCGAGCACATCCCCAATTCCGCGGTTACGAGCGGTTCGACAACGGAATTAGCTGCGCAACGGGAAATGAAGGTTTAAATCGAGTAGTGATATCTACTTGATAGCGTTTGACCAGGGATTAGGGAATTGATCCGAAAAATTGAAGTAGACACGCTAGGAAATTCACATGGAGGGTTTAAAACCTCAGTCACAGATACAATACTGCTAATGACGATAGTCGTCGCTGCTGTCTCAAGATACTCATGTCATGTTCAATCTATTTATACACAAGGATGCCATTGTTTTAATACAATTAAAAACCATAGATAGTAGCCCCAAACTTATTGCACTAATACACAGCCGTGGCAGGCTTGTTGACCAAGTCCCTTGAATGCTGAGACAGAATGCGGTCCAGCGCCTGCTTTTCAATGACCAGTCTTCCTGTCTCCAGGAGATCCTTGACATCCACGTCCTTCCGGTTCAGGATCTTTGCGTGCTCTCCCACCTCACGTACCGTCTCGAACAAGCTTTCCTTCAGCTGGTCTGTGATTAATGTTGAGCGTCCAAACTCGCGGCCCCAGCAGTTGACCTTGAAGATCTCTTTGATGAGGTGTGGGGTGGCACCTTCGGGAATCGAGATTTCGTTGTCGATAATGATCAGCTGGCCTCGCTTGTACCGGTAACTCAGGGCTATCCGCCAGGCCTGGTCGTAGATCTTCTGGGGGAGACTCGTAGCAAAGTCGCGAGGGTGAGGACCGAAAGCGACACCTCCTCCTCTTCGAATTGGGGACTTTTTGTCTCCAACACGCGCCCGACCGGTGCCTTTTTGCGCGTAGAGCTTTCTACCGCTGCCATGAACGTCGTCTCTCCACTTTGTGCTTGCTGTACCCTGCCGGGTCATGTCACCTTCGTAGACGACGGCTCGGTGAAGAATGTCTTTTCGTAGAGGCATCAAAAGATGGTTTCGAGGATATTCGACGATACGCAGGGGTTCCATTGACGGAAATGAGTAGGTGGTGGCTTTGGCGGGTGTGTCCCATACGGGCCGAGGACCGGTCGAAGACTCTCTTGTGAGGAAATCGGTCGTAGGCTGGGCCTCTGTTGCCATTGATCTCGAAAGAGGTGTTGCCAGGCATCTCTTCTAATGGTAAGGACGTATGTCAGTATGCGAATTGTCAAGTGCTCATTGCGATTCAAGAAGGGAAAAGTCATACCGTTGTGGCTTCAGCACCTGTCAACAGGCCACCTGAGCTTCTTGAAAGCCATCTGAGAGCACGAAGAGCGTCAGTTCCAGGCATTTTGCTGTTTGATGCCCTATATTGTTGTGTGATCGAACCAGGGCAGGTGAAGCAAAAGTTCAATCCGGGGTTTTGCGGCGGTCCGCGCTAGTTGGGTGAGGCTTGGCTGTGCCGGACTGAAAAAAAGAGTTCCGTCCGACCCTCTTCCACCTTTGCCCCGACAACACGATCACCACCTTTCCTCCACCGCATCCATCACCTAATTTTGCCAACAATGGCTCCTTGTGAGCGGGCCTCGAGGCCTTTGATTCAATGCATCCAAAAAACCTATACTAGAGGTTTACCAGGCCTCCAGCTGCAGTCGACGCGGACCTTTCAGTCGACCGCTCTGGCTCGCGAGGAAGCTCAGACCGAGACCCAAAGCCAACCCTTCTACAAAAACCCGGATCCGGCTCTCGTGACAAGTCCGCGATTGGAAAGGAAACTGCTGAAGCAAGGCGTTACGCCCATTGGATCCCGCCGTCGTCGAGCGGCACTGCAGAGCTCCGCCAACATCCCCTTTGAGCAACTGCCCTATCAATGCTTCCAAGAAGCCCGGAAGGTATTACTCGCAGATCGCGAGGAGAAGATCAAGAAGATTACGGCCATGCGGGAGAAAATTGCGAGGCTCCAGGCTATCCCTGCGGACGAGGCTGGCGGCGAGCAAGTGCAGAAGTCAAAATTGCGGGCAATGGAGCTGGAGCTTGAGCGTCTCAAGATCCATGCCGATATCAATGACCCTATCGTTAAGAAGAAATTCGAAGATGGGCAAGGTACGAGTGAGTTAAAGAAGGAATACCATTCACTTTCAAGTAGCCATATGCAACTAACCTTGAATTGCAACCTAGGCGACATGACCAAGCCTATTTACCGCTTCCTGGCCGATCGAAAGTGGAGAGAGTACCGTCGCAAGATCTTGGTGCAGAGAATTACCCAAATGAAGGTCATTCCTGATGTTCTGCCTCACTGCGACCCTGTTGTGGACACCAAAGTCTATTTCGGCAGACACACGATTCAACCCGGAGAGTTTGTCAACTCTAGGGTCAGCTCGACGGCCCCCAAACTCGATGTACAGCTATTTGAGGCTGGTGAGAAGCTCGTGACGATTGCCGTTGTCGACTCGGATGTTCCCAATGTCGAGAATGACGGATTCGACTACAAGATGCACTACCTTGCTGTGAACGTGCCCATCTCCGCTACTTCCACCAAGGTTGATCTCGGCAACCTGTCAGCAGATTCGCAGGTTGTTCTTCCCTGGCTGCCCCCTGTCGCTCAGAAGGGCAGCCCCTACCACCGACTCTCCATCTTCATCATGGAGCAAAAGGATTCGGCTCCATTGAACTTTTCTCTGGTCAAGGGCATGGAGACGAGCCGTGATGTCCTTCTTCGGACACTGCAGGCCAGGTATCACCTCAAGGCCATTGGGGCGCACCTGTTCAGAACCCAATGGGATGAGAACATGCTGGAAGTCATGAGAGAAATTGGCTTCCCCGATGCAGACGTAGAACTGCGCCGGAAGAGAGTCGAGCCTTTGCCTTATAAGAGGAGGAATCCTTCCACCTTCCGGTGATCTGCTTATGTATCCTTTTGCGCTTCTTTTCCGTCCGTTACAGCTTTCAGGTGATAGATCTGTATTGTACAACCGACATGTATGAATATGTACACACAAGTTTAACCAACTCCGAACTCCTAACCTTTGCTCCAACTATACGCCGCAAAGCAATCATTTTGTAACAGTGGTAACCCGTCTATTCCTCGTCCAACTGAGCTGGCTGCAATGTATTCTCCACCCATTGCATCTTCGACGGTGGCCAAACCCGAGCGATAATCTTCCCATTGATCAATCCCATAGGGATGGGTCCATAATTCCTCGAATCCCTCGACCAGGGCAGGTTGTCCCCGCCGAGATACACATGGCCTTCTGGTACCTAAGCACAGCACCCAATTAGCAAACTGCCAGTAGCCCACAACCACCCACTTCAAATCCCTACCTGTATCATCTCCCGACTCGTGCCAACCTCCGTACTAAACGGCAAATCCCGGCAGACAAAATCCCCCGGCATCCCAATCACTCTCTTCGCACCATTGACGCCCAGGAACGTAGGATGGTAGAACCGAACCACATCGCCGACTTCAATCCCCCGCCCGTACTTGTGCACCCGCGATATCATCAGGTAATCGCCGCGCGGGTTGAACGTCGGGTACATCGAGGGTCCCTCGCTGAGCTGCACGGTGATCAGGTGCTCCCAGACCAGCGTGCATGCGCAGAATAGGCCCAGACCGTCGAGGGTGAGGCGGAAGACGGCGCCGGGCGTTGCGCTTCTCAGCGCGGAGCGGAATATTCGTTCCATTGGTGTGGTCAGAGCATTTCTGGATTGTCTGGGTGTTCTGTTCTGCCGGACTGATTGGAGCTACACTATATTATTGCTTGTAGGCGGAGAGGCGGGACGGCCGAGGAAAGTCACGTGCTGTGGTTCTTCGTTTAAAAATTCGTTTCGCACTCCGGTTCGTTCTGCTTTTGTTTTCATCTCTTCGGTTTGGAGAAGCTGAGGCTGATTATTTCCACAACCATTATGTCTGGTAAGGGATGATTCAGCTGGTCTTTGCTCTACAGTTCTGAGTGATCTCATCTTCGAGGATTCACGTTGCGTAATGCCTGTTTTCAATGTGTTCTCGATTGTGCAGGATCTCAGCTGAATTGCAATCAACAACAATTCAATGATTCAATCATATTGGAATCCCCATCAAGCACAGTTGCTAGTCTCCATACCTATCAACACCGCTTCTAAATTGCTAGAGCTCGCCGTTTCCGAAATACAACACCAGGACGCGCGAGTGTGGACAGAGAAGCAAGATGAACATTATACGTCTCGGCTGACCACAAAGTGGCGAGATATCCCCGAACGCTGTCTTAGCTTTGACCCCATTTAACTATGGGACTGGGATGCTGGACAGCGTGGGTGGGAGACAATTAGATATGAAATAGTGTCCGTGGTAATGATATTTTTTTCAGACTTTCGTTCCCTTCCTTCGTCGTATGATGAGACCCATGCTCTTGATAGTACTAGGGAATCCATTCTCAAAATGCTCCAGGGAGAATTTGCTGCGTGGCCATAGATGGCTGAAGATCCTCAGATATACTGCTCGGTAACCAGCCGTGCACACCCAAGTCATCATACTTTACAAGTATCATCTTTTTCATCAAGGCCTATCTCTCGGTGACCCAGCTCCATCTTACATATTCTACACCATGGCGTCGGCATCTGAGACAATCGTCAGCAAATTCACAGCTTCTCAAACATGCCCCAAAATACTTACCAGGACTCAGGTTGGGCGGCTCGATATCCTTCCTCTTCTCCGCCTTGGCCTTGTAGTCAACCCCGAACGCCTCGTCCCTCTCCGCAAGTAGCCCATCAAGACCCTTCGGATGAGCGAGCTTGACTTTGTCTTCAGATGTGAAGCTAGCCATGAGCTGTGGAGCTCCCAAGGGAAGTGGATCGCCCCTGTCCACCTGCCAAAAATGATACGTTTTTCCGTACAGCGGAATGATGTCCCTCATCTCTGATGTTTCCGCTGCCTCCCAGGCAGGCTTCGGCACTCCGGCGGGAGCAGGCATAATTAGCATGCCGCTTTTGACCTCAAACTCATGGGTGTGCCATAATTTGCGTTCCTCGGACGGGAGGGTCTCGAATAAGCGCGGCGAAATCATGTACTCGACGCCGATCAATCGGGCATTAGGCTTGGTGGAATCGTATATCAGACACTGCCTGAGGTCTGCATTTCAGATCAGCTGTCTTTTCTTGCAGAAGCAAGGGAGCTATGAAGACCTTCTGTAACATGAGTACAATAATGATTCGCTTCCACGGCTCTTGTCGGATCCGACGCATAAATGTGAAATGCATTTAGATGGGCGCAGATCTGTTTGACAGGTGTGAAATCTTGGACCATGCTGGCGCCGCCTTCCAGGACACGGCTTTTGGTGGTGAGAGGCGAGCCGGGGATCCCATCTTGGTCTCTGGGAATGTGTTGATGACACGACATGGTTGTGCGATACAATTTTGCAATTGCAAATATTAAGCTGGGGGATATGATTGTAGAACGAAGATTGTTGTCCCAATTTAACTGCAGCTCGCCTATTGCTTCGGATGTCTATTCCGTTGAAAACAGGAGTTTCGTCCATAGTTGACGTCATGATGATTGCGGGTCAGACCACATTTGTGATATTCCCAGCTTCACCTCTGAGGAGAAACAATAAACCTCTGGAATTTCGCGTTGCCAACCGACTACTTAGCCCCGTGCTCTTGACATGGATCCATCAAGGCTTCCAACGTCTGTGCGGAGATCAGGAAGCTAAAGGTACTCGATCTACCCGAGAGTACCTGACTGCGCGGACGCAACTATAACCAATCAAATGTCATATCATGCCTCTGCAAAATCCTTACTGACTGAGAAATCCAATTGGCCTCGGTGTTGTTATTGTCATAGTAAAGGGGCCTATCTTCTGCTAGCCGAGCCGCGAGATCCGAGGTGGCATTCCAGAGCTCATCGCTGTCAGGCAGTGAGAACTGCAAGTCTGCCAGGGTGAGAAGACTTCTCCCCCTCTGAGTCCTGTGGAGGTTATTACGCGGGCCGTTCTTGCATTGAATATGACACGACCTGCAAACTTTGTAAAGGGCGAGTGCAAAGCGCTTGACTTCCTCGATGCCTACCCAGATGAAGACATCCGGGACGGAGTCGCGGCTAACCTGGGCTAAGATCTCTGGGTAGAAGAACATGTTTTTGCGAAGGCAAGTGTCAGTCAGTGTCGTTAATAGACGAGAACAGGTCGTGGGGATGGTTCGGGCGAGACAAATGTCAACCTGGCTATGAGTGTCTTTGAGGAAGGCGAAAATGATCTGAAGAAGGATGGCTTGGTATGTTGCCATGGGCCAGGGGCTTTGGACTTCGGACTCTGAGTTTATGGCTGCCCAGTTGTCCTATCAGATTGACATCAGCTGCACGACTCGAGTACATTGCCTTTGAATGCTTCATTGGGTAATCGAACGGGAAGGCAGGCGAGTTACTCACTCGCTGTTCGTAAGCTAAGGAACTAAGCTTGTCATGTAGTTTGACTGCATGACACTGCATCTCCTCGTCCCCAGTCATCCAAAGTCCCATCATGACAACAGACTGCAAGAGAATCGGAGGCTCCAGACTAGGCTCGAAAGTCGCTCTATGCAGAAACGGCCAGACTGGGTGAAATTCCTCAAAATATATCTCAACATACTGCAGTACATTGGGCCCCTTCCATGGAAGCGTACAGTCCATGCGATCTTCAGCAGTCGAGCACGTTTTCTGGTCATACTGCTCATCTTGAAGTTCGTTGATTATGCTGTCCATACGCATGGTTCGAGCGTTCTTCGGATTCCCCAGATGTGACAAGGAGCATTGGAGACCTCTCCGTGAACATGCTTCGCAAGGGGCCCTACCATTGCATCGCGTCTTTCTCGAGCGACAGTGACTACATGCTATAACCGTGCGACTAGATTCCAACACCCTGTCCTTATGAAGGGCCCGAACATGTTGACGTAAAGTATCACTATATATCATATTAGAGTCAGTTTCATTGCCGTTGCGAGAGAGGTGGTGCGTGTGAGCTTACGTCCTGGAGAAAACTCTGTCGCAAAACGGACACTCGCACGCTGGCGCTTGACTATGAATCGCAGAGTGCCGAGTAAGGTGTTCTCTGCGCCTGTAGCTTCGACTACATCCCCGCTGGGGACAGCGAAATGGGCCTTCGTTGACGCTGGCAGCGGTTTTCATGGTAGTAGATCTGGTTTGGACTGTGCTGCGGGGGACCATTGCGTGCCATGTGCTGGCTGTATACTTCTTGACAACTGGTAAAAATTAGTCAAGGCTAAGAGTGGGTCGGATGAGGTTCGTGAAAAAAATAGCTGGAGGAGTCGTTCACATCAACGTAGATGGCAGATGGGATGCCGAATATGGGATACCGATGGATGAAATAGAGATGAAGTTAGGGGAGCGACGGAAGGCACTATTCCGTTTCCTACATGACTACCACGACTCCAATGCACAAGGCTTACAGTATTATTTAGCGAAGAGGATTCTTGTCATGGAATTCATCAATAAGATTTTAAATCCCATCTTTCACAAAGGCGAGTAGGAGTATAGTCATGTTTACGCAGAGTTCAAACAATGGTGTATTCAGACTATTTCCCCATATCACTCGCTACATAGCATTCTTCATCTCTCTCAAAGCTGCCATCACCTCCACTGGATCAGTCTTTCCGGTTTTCTTCTGGATCTCAGGATCCTATGTAGCGGTCAGACGATAAGTATAATTAGAGAATGAATCTCTGGATCTTCTTACATTGACTCTCATAAACACATTGTGCAGCTAGACAACCTCGTCAGCTAGAGCAATCAAACGGGGCGAACAACTCCATACCTTCTCGTCTCCGATAGTAAACTTGCCCTGGGTCTGTTGATGCTGATTTGCGTATGCTTCTAGCCTCTTAATCGGTTCTGATTGAGATACAGCAAGACAGAACTTGACGTTACTCTTGGTGTACTCGTGGCCGGGCTACACGAATCAATAATCTGCATCAATGAAAAATGGTCTCTTAACACCTTACATAGACTTTGGTGTCATCGGGAAGCGAGGCAAGAGTCTCGTTCAACGCTTTGTGCATCTCTTGAGCATTTCCCTCGAAAAAGCGACCACATCCTGCTATTGTGAGATTCATTCGAAAACAGCTGTGAAACGGACATCTCACCTGCGATGAACAAGGTGTCACCTGTAAACACCACTTTTTCGTCCCCATCCTGCATATAATAGCAGATACTATCCTGAGTATGGCAGGGAGTGTGCAGTGCTTTGACGGAGATCCGCTCTCCGATCTTAAATGTTTCCCCATGTGCAGGAGTCCGCGTGACTGATTGACACTTCTTTCCTCCGATGACTGGGAGTTTACCAAAATGTTTCAGCTGTATGTGTTAGTCAGAAGAGCGCATAAACATAGCTAGCTAGCTCACCATCTCATCGTTGCCGCCAGCATGATCCCAGTGACTGGAAGCGCACGTTAAATACTGGTCTCCCTTAGCGACTGGATGCCGGGACATACTGATGCGTGTTGACGATGGCCGTCAGTTTGATCTTGCCCGCCTTGAGTTGAGCATCAAGCTCTGGAGCTACTCTAGCAGAACGTCAGAGTCGATTCCACAGGCCAATTTGACGAACAACATACTCTGGCGGATTAGCCGGGTCGATGATGACGGACTCTTTTGTGGGCTCGTCCGTCACGAGGTAGGCATAGTTATTGCCCTTCCCCGTCCCTGTACATAGCGTGAGCGTCAAATCCGCTTGGGTAACCAATCTTGAATCAATCAAGACCAGACACAAGGCATTGGTACATCCAACTTACACATAGGAATCGACTGTACATGCATGGTTCTGACGTGATGTGCCCTTAAGTATCGAGATCCACAGTATGGTCTGATCGCTCTGAGGAGGTTCATTGACGAAAGTGATAGAGAGAGAAAATGCGGGGTGATACTGAGATCATTTACTAATAGGCGGCATCTCCATGAATGAAGACTATTCGGAGCATTACCTCATAGTAGCTCCGGGTCATGTGGTTGGCGCTAAGCCGTATTTGGAAAATTATATACATCGCTCAATGGTCTTCCCTACGACTTGCACAAAATGACATTAATATAAAGGGTATTCCTTGATGGATCATGCGAGTGGCTACGATCTCTTCCGATGTCGGTGAGTCGGGCGAGACGGAGATGGTGGGTTTTACACAGTCGCTCACTTCGCTCCATTGCTCCAGTCAAACTATCCCTATTGGTCTGGTATCCCAAGTGTCTAACCTTTCCCACCCGAATTTCTGCAGCCCTTGTAGTTCATCTTCGGTGTGCTGGGCATGTGTCGTACTTCCAGATTTTTTCTGTGATCGAAGTGGAGCGTTGCTCTGATCTCTAGCAATAGGAGGCAAGCGATTATCCTCTGAGCGAACAGCGCCTCTGAGCAGATCTAGCCAGCGATTCGAATTTTGGTCGCAGACACTGAGAATGTATCCGAGAGAAAGAGATTGCCGAGCTGTACTCCACTCTGCTGAGTTCAAGATGTGGTCCAGCCACATATAAACCGCCTCGCACCGGGGATCATCTTTCGTATTCGGTCGTCTCGTGAATGCCAGTTCATTGACCAGTTCCTCGGTCAGAGCTGGTAAAAATGTAGGATGACCTGCCGCTACACACTGTAGTGATCTGTCCCACTTGGTGAATGCTTCATCCATGGAATCGCCAAGCCTTGTAATATGTTAGCTGCGGGTAGTCCACTAACGTTGCATGAAAGGCACACTTACTTTCGTCCCTTCGGTACAATTATTGCATCCTCAATGAGGACTCGAGAAAGTGAGTGAGGACTCCTGCTAGACGCCTTACATACCGCTACCAGCTGCGCCGCAAGGAAAGACGATTGCTGATCTGACTTCCTCTTCTTCCGTGGTGGCTCTGTAAGGTCGCCCTGGCTCGCTGGATGCTCGAGAACGGTTCTGACGATGCTCCTGATTTCTTCTACATTGCCATTGTCGGCATCGTTAGAGACCGCAGAGGCAGGCCTTCCTAATACAAGCGCAACGTCAGAGTCTGTCTTGGCCCAGTAATAGTCCCAGAGCCACTCTAACGAGCGTTGCGTCGCGTTGCGCAATACCACAAGAGACGGTAGCTCTCTATGGGTCGCCTCGTGGCGCAGCTCAACAAACGATGCCGGAAGCCCGAGGTCAATCGCTCGTTGAAACATGGTCTTCCTCTGTCCATGGAGTTTCGAGTCAACAAGACCCGTTACGAATCTGATAGGCCTGCGTTAGAGATGCCCTATGCGTCACAAATGAATAAAAAGGGACTCACCGACAGAAAGCAGCCGAGTAGGTGGCTCGAATCGAGAATATGGAATTTTTCTGAGCATCGTCGTGAAGAATCGCGTCCGTTAATAAGGCGGTAGCCTCAACCGGATGTGGAAGGTTGCCACGGAGCTTCCAGACTCCGACCTTGGGGGTGTTAATCATGATATTCAAGCGTAATGTAGAAACTACGTACCGTAGCGCAGGCATTTGAGCGCAAATCTGGTCCATCATAGGCGGGCGGAGGGTAGAATTGATTCCGGACAGTGAGTAACTGGGAATGATCCTTCCACGGTGTAAAAAATACTTTTGCCATTTTGCTCCCTGGATCTTTCAGTGAAGAAGTATCCGTAATTCCCTCGTGAGTTTTGTTCTATTGTTTGTCCACTGTATCTGATCGACGGGATTTTTATACCGGGGAATTGTTTTTCCCTCCGAGTGTCCCTAGATTTGTGCCTTACCCATTAACAGTCCAACTACAGTACTCCGTCCATTCTACGAAAGGTCAACAGTTGCTCAGTGTGCGATATGGCATGACATGTCCCAATTCAGCACAGGGCGCAGAGGCAACGGCGGTCGACGACACTGTCATTCTGTGTCTGGAGCCTGTACGTGGAAGTCAAAATAGACCAAGTACGAGTCTAGAATGAGGCTTATCAGACGAGATGCATGCACGCTATTATAAGTATCCATACTCCTCTTCAGGTAACGCAAAGGATGCTCTAGAAGCGGCGAACTGAACTGTCCACCTGCGACTCGCCTGTCGAAGAGTGTTACACCACACAAGGGTGGTATTCTGCGCAAGGGATAAGGGAGTAACAACTTTGCAGAGTTCCAGACTGACAAGAATTATCAGCAAAAGGAGGGGGAGGGCAATGAGACTCTGGATGTGGAGATTTGTCCCCAATGAAGCATTCCTCAGAGACATGGCGTGGACTGTCACACAGAATCCCCCTTCCTCAGTATCCGGCGGCCAGGGAAGCGAAATCAGATGTGGAAAGGATAGAAAGAAGGCAACAGTCGAAGAGTATATGGGGAGAAGGCAGGAGACCGTAGTCACGAGACTGGCCCGAGAATCCGTTCAACTTGGAATCCAAGGGCACAGAGCATGGAGTCATCACTTTCAAGCAAGATATCAGCTTACATTCATGCAGCTTATCGGTGCCTCTATTGTCCAGGATGAGGAAGCATTCAACTGATTAAGAGAGTAGACTGCTCGTCTCAAGCTCTGATAGAACATGAGGCATAAGGAAGATATGAAGGACTAAATCAAGAAACCCCTTTCGAGTCAGATCACTACACAGCTCAAACAAATTGTAGTCTTAGCAAGTTGCTCGTCTATTTGTTGATTGTCTATCTAATGCATGTAGCTATTCGTATCATTGTACCTTCTGTTGGGTATCCTCGTCACGGTTCGTGCCTCTCATAAAAACCAAAACTCCACGCTATGCCATGAAACAAAGAGATAAAGACAAACGAGAGACAGGATATGTCGAGTGGGAAAAAAGAAAAGGCAAAGAAACAGATTCAAGAGTTCATATCCACCCATATGCATAGTTCATGCACGGCTGATTTTCCAGACCGAAGAATTGCTGAGGGACTACCCCGCCACCTTGGTCTACACTGCCATCGTCCTCGAAAAAGAATGACTTGTTAAGCATATTCTGTGCTGATTTCACAGGTTGCGCATGTGTCTGAGGCCCCAGTTGCGGTTGACGAAGATCGGCACTGTTGCTGGCTTGCTTCTCTGTGGTCACTTGCGAATCATCATCCTCTCCGTCAGCGTCCTGATTTTCAGTCTCGTCGTCCGGTGACGGCGTAAAAGTCTCCTCCAGCTTCAACCCCTTGCCGTTTAATCCAGTCAAGGACGCATTCAGCGATGGATCAGGATGACTGTACAGGCCCATCCCGACAAGCTCGTCCTCCGGCTCCTCCTCAACCGCCTCCGGCTCATCAAATTGCTGAATTGGAAGAAATGGCGTTGGAGGTCCAGAAGACGGCGCGCTCTCGTAATTCGACCCCGCAACGTCCGCCCCGGGAATACTGCTGTTCATGGACATCATATCGAAGGACCAGCCTTCAGACATGGGCGGAGCCATCGCGGATAAGCTAGACGCACTGGCGTCCCAAGTGACTGGCTCGGCCTGCGAGCCGTTCATTTGCAGGAGGTACTGTTGCTGCATAATTGTCGGATCTTCTATGCCGGACAAAGATGAAAACATCGCAGCATCTGAGGTGGGATACGCAGATAGAATGTCCTCGCCACCGTAGGTAACCGGAAGCGTGTTGGATGACGAAGAGCATAAGCCTGTGCCAGCAAGGTTTCCAGACATAGTGGTGGCCGGTAAGTACTGCGAGGTGGAATATCCTGTTGATTGCAGTGATGCCGGGTGCCAACTCATTGGTCGCGGTTGGCGTGTTCTGCGCATGGCGGAAGCCGCGAGAGCAGCTTGGATCTGAGCCTGATAAGACTGCTGCGGCAGGTGCCGGTACATTGGTGAAGTGTGCGACGTGGTGGCCCTTCGCTTGGCAGCAGAAGAAGGACTGTTCCCAGCACTCCGAGGCTTCATCACCCGACTAGTGTGCTTTGGTCTGGGGAAAGCATACATCAAGTCACGAAACGTCGATGTTCGGAAACATGGCTGGTTTTCTGGGGAAATCCAGTAGGGGCCTGCTACGGAGGCTTGTGGTTGCCAGCAGTCGGCCATTGGTTGTGATGTTGAGAGTATCAATCGGATCAGAAATGGTTAGGATGGTTGTCTGGAAGAGGATGGAGGTGTTGGGCGAGAGAGGGATAAGGTATGTAGATAGAGCGTTGAGTTATATGACAGATGGAGGTGGATCGAAATCCATGGATGACTGCAGTAAGATACACAATAATAAGGTCAGAGATCGAGACTCATCATATAGAGATGACACAAGGGGTCACAGGGCGCTCATGGCAAGGTACCGAGCGAGTAGTCATGCAGAAGGAGGGAAGTAAGTAATAAAGTAGTAACTTTAGCCAGATAGTCTAGAGATCTTCGTTGTCTCCATAGCATCAAATTACTTTCCCTTCTTAGAAAAAATAATTATTCATTAATGTGAAATAAATAGAAAAAATAAAAAATAAAAATAAATTATTTATTAATTTTTATTTTATGTGATGAATATGGGGTCACTTGTTACTCGTGGCATCAACTTACATTTCCGATCTACCGTCCGCCCCAGCTCCACGATCCAAAGGTTGGGACCCCATAGCTGACAATCTATTGGCGGACATGTGTTCAATAGTGAGATGACACAACGTTGACAGTAACAAAATAGGTGACTTGGTCCGCGTCTCACAGGGGGAAGAATGGAACAAGCAAGTCGGCTAAGGGACGGAGGAGGCAGGCTGGTCTGGTCTGGTCTGGTCTCGTCTGGTCTGGTAGTGGTAGGGATGGAACTGGAAGGATGTGACGATGCAGAGCGCCATGCCTCAGCTCAACGGCTCCACTGCCTTTCCATGGTCCATGTCCGTAGCATTAATTCTTTCCTCTACCTGTACTACTCGTGTAGAATTCTTATTTTTCTCTTCTCTAGGCTCCACCGCCTTTTTCAGAAGTCCGGCTTGATTTCTGGACCCTCTGGATGTGCTGGACGGTTGGACCCCATGCTAGTGGTGGTAACCATGGTGCCGCCATGTTGGTGGAGCCGGAAATGCTCAATACCTTACCACTGGCGGGGATGATCAGACCCATGAAAGGCTTGCAAGGAGTTGGGTTTTCATTGGATGGGATTTCAAGGAGAAAATAAAAGAGGAACGCTTAGAGCAGGGTAGGAACCGGGAAGACAGAGATGGAACCAGAAAGATAGAGTGTCCTCCGTAGTACTTCGTAGTACTTCGTAGTAACAACTAACTTAAGTTCAAGGCCCGAGTGTGACTAAGTGACTGCTATGTAACTTACGGATAAGCGGCTACCTAGATAACCCAGAAAAGTTACCTTTGTGATCGGGTCGATGGTTGCACATGCATCAAGCCAGCCTTTACTATTTGAATATACAAGTAGGTGTTAATGATGGACCTGGAGATCACCGCCCAAGTTCCAATGCATATGCAACTATACATCAAGCTAGGGCTCATGGCTCTGTGCTATTATCATCAGTAGTGCCTGCTTACGGACCTACGGAGTACTGCTGATATGATCAACAAGCCAACATTCAGATGAAGTGGTATCCGTACATATCAGGGATAGAGTCGTTCAAAGGGATCATGGCTAAGGTGTTTGGCAGAGACATCTGAATTAGTGGGTTTCCGTATTTTATTTTTAATTTTCCTTTTCCTCTTATTTTTTTTTAACTTTTCTTCTCGCCCGAAAATTGGCCCTATTAATAAGTGGCTGCGATGCTGTGGAGAGACACGCCCGGTTTAGTTTAGCAGGTTCGACTTAAAGGGTCCCTCTTTTTCTGGAATGTTGTCTCTTGGTGTTTGAAGCCACACTAGCAAATTTCGACCTATCATCGCTGGCGCCCGCTGCTTTACGGTTACGGCGTTCGGCATTCAATGTCTCTTGGAGTTGGAGGCTGGTCCACATACTAATAATGTTTCTTCCTTCGCTGAGTCTGGCCTTACCTCTATCCATCATCATTATTACGGCGTAGGTCCGCATTATGTATTAGGGTGCACCTAAGGTATCTCTTGAGTGCCTCCCCGCAAGTTCATTCCTTCGATGCGTCACATCTTGCTATGCTCAATACCTCTTACGCAAGGGTTACAATTGCATCGTCGCTCCAAACTGAACGAGGTCAGCCTGCAAGGCATTTCTATATGCTGTCTATGATATCCAGTTGAGCATTGCCTTGTTGCCTGTGCTACACCCTTGTATCACTATAAATAAGGCATTCTTCGGCCTCACCGGGAACCTCTCTAAAGTTGTGATCCGCTATCTTGTTTTGAAACCAACCGCTTGGGGAGAGTTCATCCACTATCGTCATAGGCTTGAATTCACGTTTCTAGTGCTGCGGTGGATAAGGTTGGACACTTGGACTCATAGATTACTCATGAACGGCTAGACTTCGTAACTTCGTAATCTCGTAATCGGGGGGACGCCAAGCACTCCATACCAAGCCTTCGGCCGTCTGATTAGGCGCAGGATTTCGGAGAGACTAAGGTAAGATCAAAGAGTCATGTGGATGGTGAGATTTTATCTTTATCTTTGTCACAGCTTTACTATTATTCTATGTGGCTTGTTAGCCCAGGACAAGGGCGTAAGACATTTAGTGTTATTGAAAATAGAAAAAAATGAAAACAAATATTGATTATCTATGTGACACTGGTTGTGATCAGCATTAGCGTATGACTTTCAGCGTCAATAATATCATCTAATGCACTACTCCGTACCACCAGCAAATATCCAATATTACCTGTTACAGATAAAAGAATTCTGCAGGGTATCAATGTATCATCTACGAGCCCACTATCTTGTTCCTAGGTTTGACGGAGAGCCAAGGACGAAATATGCTCAACAATTTAAAGTGGGGTACTATTCATTTATCAACTGACACTTCGGCTAGGAGTTGAGTCGAGGCTTAGGATTGAGTATCACTTTCTACTTCGTGTCTTTGTACTCCATAGTGGCTCCATAGTGACGAGGGGCCAACGCAGCCTCAAAGAAGTTGATACAGCGTATGAAGCACGAGTTTCTTAAAGGGGCACATGATTAATAAGCTCCGACAACAGTTCTGAGAGATCGACCAACGTCACAAAGACATCAAGGCTCAATCAAGGCTCAAGGCTCAAGGCTCACGACATAAAGTTCGAGGTTACAGCATATATCTCGGACCTTCTGCTCACTTCTAGCGGTTTAGTATGCTTTATGGAGCATGGAACCGAGTATCAGCCATCAAGCCATCGGGCAAGGCGGACTCTCATGCTCCTTCCCCCGTGTCGTCCCAATCCCTGCTTCCAAGGGCGGTTACCATGATTGCCTGTGTTGGCTCAGGCGATTGTCATCGAAGCTCAGCATAACGGACATGTACACGAGATAGGGCGGGCGAGTCCGTGATCTGACCTCCGTAAACTCCGTACTCTGCGTGTATCCAACATTTCTATCGAGTATCGACATCGACATCGCTAAGAACACTACCAAGAAGGTACTAGTTGATCGGATGGTTGAGATCATCGTTGGATTGCTGTGCGAATCAAAGGCCGCGGATTCCAGGAAGAAACCGCCGAGTAGTTGGAACGCATGTGCGGACCCACGGGTAACGCAGGGGGCTAGAAAATTAATAGAACAAACGGGGGCCTGAGTCAGGGGTCGGTACGTAGGTAACAATTCTTACGAATTTCTTGAAGCCTGCTCCTCTGTGGGCTCTGAGACGCTGACGGGCAATGCAAGTGGGTATGTCTCCTGTACGGAGTATTGTGCTTAGTCTTACTGGTAACCGCTTAGTGTGCTGATGATCTATCCATTTGATCGCTGGTCTCCACCTTGAATGGCGTTGTGCAGGGATCCTACCAGGTAAAAGGGAAGGCCGACGCATACTTTGCTCCCTACTGATTTGCCCTGGACTTGGACCTGGAGTTAGTCAGACAGTTTGTCTCAAATAGCAGTCCAAAATCAATTCCATCTCATTCCATTCGCCGATCGCTCGACAATAACAGCCCGCTTGCATGCGAGCTGGGGCCTCGGGGAGAAAATCCATCACAAGAGATGATCTTATCAAACACCCACAGGCCACATTGATGCTACAGTATCAGCTGGCCTCGAACTAGTCTAGCCCCTCTAAGTCCATACACTATGTCTTGACTGCGGGACACGGTCGGCATCTCTTCACACCCTTCACAGGATCAGGGACAACTGCCTCTCGTTGTCAATAATTAAACACTACAAGACGAATCAAAAGAGTAATCATGACGATCGAACTGATCGTCAAACACACTATCCTTGGAGGTGTAAGTAAGTAGTAATCAAGTCTCCAAGACTCCAAATGGGGTTGACTTGGCTGTCTCCGCCTAATTAGCGCCTCGCTGCTGTACCAGGCTCAATCCAGCAACCCCGAAATGGCGGTCACAATCCGACCGTCCAAGACAGGAGAAGCCTGGAACTGGGCAATAATCGACGACACTACCTTAGTTAAATTCCACAGCCAGGTAGAGATCACCTCCAATAGTTACTTTCTCGGACTTGATCCACATAGCGAGGCACAGGCAGTAAGCATCACACGGAGACAAGGGATGTCAGATCAGAAGACATTCAACTTGTCTGGTTTCCATCAAGGTTCGCTGAATATGATTCAATCCTGTTTTGAAAGAGCACTCAATCCAGCGCCAGATTCCAGCCACTCAGAGTCTCAAGAGCGCAAAGCTCAGGCATTGGAACACCCGCTAATTGATTTGACTTGCCTTAGTTCCATGTCATCGGGGGCCAGATCCTGTGATACTTTGGGAAAGAACTGTAGCCGATTGCATTATCATTGGTCAAACGATGTGTTCACTGTGGGCTTAGGCGCCATTCAGCATTTTTAATTTCAGTGTTTCCAAAAGGTCTTTGTCATCTCGCCTCGGCCGCGCAGCCCGCGCTCCAGCTGAGTAACCACTAAGTTCATCCTTGAAGGATTCGTGGCCCTTCAATTACCATGTTCGGCCGCGTACTCCGTCTACCACAGCCACTCACCGTTTAGAATGTATGTGTCCTCCGGCGACTACTGCAACCACGCCGCCCACCCCAAGCTGTCACTATAAGACATATCAACCGCAGCAATATGATGACACAGAGTGTGCCTCATATGCCCCGAGATGCAGCTGCATCCCAGCCTGCAGTGCCAGTCCCCTGTTAGCATCCTTAGCGGGATGCATCGTACTCAATTGTAGGATTAGGTTTATTTCACTGAAACCAAATTTTCATTCCTCCCTGCCGCTGCGCGCCGCGTGCTACGTCCGAGCGCCACAACGTCTGAGCTCACCCTTTGTCGAACTGAACCTAAACCTAAATCAGGAAACTCAAGAACCTGGTGGCTGCCGCCTGGTAGGCTTTATTGTTAGGGGAGTAAGCCGACTTAAGTGGATGGTTCTCATGGAGCCTGTTTTTGAGAAGAAGAAAGTTGGCATCGTGTGACTGGCAAAGCTTCCAGAGTTGCAGACTAGTGACTCAAAATGATGGCGAGTTGGCACACTGCTACACTTGGTGGCGGAATCAAAGGCAATGCACGCTGGACCTCCTACCGAAATCCAGCACCATAGACCCATCTAGTAGATACGCCTGGTCCGGAGTTTGACTTTGAGAAGTTGGGAGAAGGATCCAACGACAGGGTGGGTCTACACTCTGCACTCTCTGCTCAACCACCCTCGAAAAGGAGAAACAGCGTCAGACTCATGTTCTGCCCCCTTCACCAGAAGGATTTTGTGGACAGCTGCAGGTAGCCATGAGTCAAATGCGTACATGCATATCACACATGCATATGACTACTACTTCGTACGGAGCACACCAAGTACGTAAGGCAGTGTACTGTTTGGGTGCCCGACCAATCATGGCTCATGGCACCAGGTAGCCCCTCGAATCTACCTTACCTTACATCCATATCGAGATCGTTGATATCAGCAAGGACAGTGTAGAGATGATACAGTGATTCTCGAAATCGGACTGACCTCCAAAGACACATCATTTGTTTGCCAACCCCACAGCCAAGAATTCAGAGTGAATATATTATTTCGCCAACAATTTCCTTTCATACAGTGCAAGAAATTTGTTTACCTAAATGCCTATGGAGCGTCTCGTCAGTCGTGCAGGCTACTATTCGAATATCTGAATTATAAATGAAGAAAGCCTAGTTTTCTCAATCTAGCTACGGACTATGCTTAAGTACACAAAAATAGTAAGTAATGTAACTATATAAAGCTGTCATGCAGCCGCCTCGGTCATATATAGCCCAGATTAGAAGTGGGATCAGAGGCAGCGGCCGCGTAGCCCTATTATAAGAGCTGTCACTGCTTGTCATCTTGGGTAGTGCTAGTTCTGAATAGCTTCAATATAAGAGAACTTTGTGTGTAAGCTTGATATGGAAATATTAGATCCTCTACAGTCATTCTTGAAAACTGCTTGACTAATACATACTTAATAACTCTTTTCTGGACCCATGCAAAAGACCTTAGCACAGATCAGTCATTGAGCGGGCTGCGAGAATCAAGTAGCATAGTAAAATGCACCCTGTATGCTACTGCATCCTGCTACATAAGGTTTACACAGTGCGTACAATAGAATTCCATGGAAGCCGATAGTGGATATTTACGAATCACGTTAATAGAGCGGCCTCATGCTCCTATTCCTGCTAGTACTATTCCTACTGCCGCTCTCGAGCTGTCTGGCTTACCAGACTACCGTCAATCCTCCTCCCATTTCAAATCATAGATTCGTGAATCTCTCTCCCACCTAATCCATCATCTGATGGCTGTTTCATCACGGGGAACCCTTGGGCCTCCCTTCTTAGCAATGTCTCGTTTTTCCATTTCCAAAATCCAGACTCTCTGTCATTTGTGGGTAAATGACCCATTGTATCACTTGGGTCGGTAAACTGTAGGCGAGCTAGCCAAGCTGCTAGATCAAATTCATGATGTAGTTGTCCATCAACAAGCATTCGGATAGTCCCAATATGCTCATATAGAGGCTGTCCGTATTGGGAGGTATGATAACTCATATGAAGGAGACCGCCTATCCAGCCCTGCAGATATTCACAGAGCCACTCCGGGCGCGTTGTATATGATGACAATGTCTCTGAGATTTCACTTTGGTCTCTCCGATCGAGACCCCAATGCCGCGCCGACCAATGCTTGTATGTGACATCTTCTGGTGGGAAGGCAAGCTCTAGTTCCGCAGACTGGAAATCAAGAACAAGGGTGTCAATCAGCATCCCGCGATCCTCAAATTCCTGCGTGGTTCGATGATAGTCAGATGACTCATCTTCCTCTTTGCGTCTTTTTTCTCCCACAGGTCCATAGCGGAGAAACCGCTCTAATGCAGCATAGAAGGACCAGTGGAACCCTAGCCGGCCGCCATCACCGAATTGGCTACGGACAGCGCGCTTCCCAATGATGTGACCAAAAAGACGGACATTCGCGTAGAGGGTCGATATGTGGGTTGTGAGACATGGCACCGACAGCCATGTCAGAAAGAGATCCAAGTCATCCTTGACTGAAATGTCAAGGATATAGTCGACTTTCATGCGTCCAAGGATCGCCCGAGTCTCGGATGAAATTTGATGATTTGTGAGAAGAAGAGGCAGACAGCTTGAAGAGACAGCCATGTTCTGCTGCTTGTAATAGATTTTGCTACCTCCTCCAACCCATGCCTTGTACCTAAGATCGTTGTATTCGATTCCATCGGATTGCAGCGGAGTCACAGGCGGGCTGAGCGGCGTATAGAGCACATGTTCAATGATGAGTTCTCGGAGCTCAAATGGGATTTCAAGGAACAAACACATGAATAGGTTCTCCTTAGGGTGAGTATTTTAGAGAGATATAGTCAACTCACAAAGAAGCTGAAGAGGACAATCTGTTCCTGCGGAGATGAGGTTGTAGTTGACACCAACTATCTTGAGTGCCCCAAAAGTCCGGCTGTGAAAGTCTTGACACAGGAATTAAGTAGAAAAGAAAATATGTGCCAGGCGACCATACATCCTATACTATGCCCATTTACTACTTTTTGTAGTAGTTTATTGAAGTACAGTGATGCAGTAAAAGTTTTGAATAACTCCCACTCTCAGACTGCCTACATCAATAATGACCACTGTCTGAAAACGGATAGCCCAAAGTAGGTGTCAAATAGGCAGTTTACGGGGGATTTGGGACAGGCAGAATATTGTCTAATCAGGGGTTGTGTAGCCAGTGTGGTTAAAAGTTTTGCTGCGTCGTACCGCGGGGCCTTTATTTGGCCTCTCCAACTCAGGGACATTCAGCCAGGCAACCATCATCGATTGCCTCTGCGGGGCGCAAGTTTCCTAGTGCTTATCTCCCTCTTGCGGACCTTCTAGCAACTAGTCACTATGGGACTTTCGCTTGTGTCCAGGCTGGGTACAATAAGAAGGTTATGCCCCATTTTGTTGCGGTTGGCTCAATATTATTTCCATACTCAGTTCTTGGCAGTGGGGCAGGAGAACAATCGTCATGTCTTCGGGGGTGAGACCGATTTTGAGAATCACTGTATGACCTGACGCTCTGCATGGCTCTGTGGACAAACAGAGGCGAGCCTCAAGCAAAGACTGCACGCCAGCTACATAAGTGATATGCACCGACCACATCCTAGCATCCTGGAATCCTGCATCTTGTCGTACAGTCATGTTCCATGCTGGGGTGTGATGTATCAGAGGCAAAGCAATTCCAACGGATCATCAAAGGATCTTCCCTTGTACTTCACACCCCTCTACCTACCTGCCTGCCATTCGGGGAGCAATGTCCGTTAGGCGTCAGACAGCGTAGATGGTCCAGATCGGTTTCATACGGGCAAGAAACCATGGCAAGGGGATGAATGACGCCCTCACTCGCGCTGATCCTGAGGCGATTCCATGGATTTCCAAGTCCAGTGATTCGATCTTCAACAATGCTTTGTCTTTGTTTATAGAGCTTTAAATGCTGCCGGCAGAAACAATAACAAGTCTCCATGGCCCAGCTGGTTAAGGCGTCCGACTGTTAAACAATAGCTTGTGCAATCGGGAGATCGGCAGTTCGAGCCTGCCTGGGGACGAATTTTTGTGTCGTCAATATCGATACTTATTTTTGCTGGGCTTTTTTTCTTTTTGTTCCTACTGTGATCAGCCGTCATAGGTCGGGTCCAGCAGGCCGCCTTCTGCTGCGAAAAGTAAAGTATGTTCAGAACGTGGAATAGGGGAACCTTGGGTGACCTTGGGTGGTGGACGGACGGTCCAGCGTCAGTTTAGGTGCCATCATTCAGCCAGGGTCACCTGATTCCTAATGTATGGTAAAAAGGCCATATCCACCAAGGCGGATTCACCCAGGACCCAGAAATATAGAATTGCAACTGTCATGCTGCTCCATGACACACGGCTCGTGTTACTTTGCTGCCCAGAGTAGCTCCCTGAGCAGATAGATCACAGTATACCCATGCTGATTAGGTTCATTTGATCTCCTTTTGCCTTTCCATTGTTTCAGATGCTCCGACAATAACTGCACTGCTGCCTAGTTTCCCGTTGGCTCTTAAATCACGTGCATCCCGCAGACTCCAACGAATCCGACAAGTATAGAAGCTATTATGTTGCACGAATATGAACCCGTCATCAATTCTTCCCTTAACACTACAAGACGTATTTGGTACACCTGCTATCACAATTTTATTCTGCTCCTTCCTAGCACGCCACCTCTAGCCTAATGTCCGTTGGCAAACTCACGACCTGCCTCTGGTTCGATGGCCAAGCAGAAGAGGCTGCCTCGTTCTACACCTCCATATTCAAGAACTCCAAAGTTACGGGGCGCCACTACTACCCCGAAGCCGGCAAGGAGTTCCACGGACGCGAGGCCGGCAGCCTCATGACTATTGAATTTGAGCTCAATGATCAGAAGTTCGTCGGCCTTAATGGAGGCCCCCACTTTAAATTCACTGGAGCAATCTCTATCATGGTCAACTGCAAAGACCAGGCTGAGGTCGACTACTATTGGGATAAGCTCGGCGATGGCGGCGATAAGAGCAAGAGGCAGTGCGGCTGGCTGGTGGACAAGTTTGGCCTGTCGTTGCAGATTGTGCCTGACGACTTCCACAAGATGCTGAATAGTACAGAGACAGAGAAGAGGGACCGTGCGTATGTTGCTATGTTGCATATGGAGAAGCTTGACATAGCCGGGCTACGCAAGGCTTTCGACGGGGAATAGGCTTACTCCTTACTGAATTTCTCTGCTTGGATAAGCTGACGTCAGTACTCACCGTAAAAGTTAATACGCGATAGGCAGCGAAGTAGTCGAGGCGCTCAAGAGTCTGGCGGGGGATCAAATAGGCCATGATATATGTATTAGGCGTTTACAGTATCTGCGTCCTTGCCATTGTCTTCCCTTTTTCATTGGTGAGTCGCGTTGCAAAATGGGAGTGCCCCCAATACATAGGAAAAATGTGGGTGGAAATGCAGAGTCCTATAATGACCTGTTACCCATCCGTCTGCAAAAGCATTTGATGTTGAATGACGACATCACATGTGATATACTTGTTCTAGAAGGGATTCAGTGCCTGCAAAGGACGTGTGAAAGTCCCTGGGTATGGAACGTGAAAAATAGCACCTGTCCCGAATCACACCCCAGACCTATTGTCGACCCTGACACCACCGAAGCATCGGGCCGGTACTCCCGTGGTAACCACAGCAAATTAGCTGAATTCCAAGTGATCCACGCCTTATCAGTGCTCCTGTCGCTGAAAACAAGAAAGATTGAACCGTCCCAACATCAGTTCCAACATATGAATAGTGATGTTGAATGATTTGACAGAGGCGGCTCTTACAATTCAGATGTTTGTAGGCATTGTCCACTGACATCCTGCTCAAGTCACGGCTCGCTTGGGATGGGCATCAAGAGAATCATCTAGTTGAACGCAGATGGGGGAGGAGAGAGCCTTCTTTTTTTTTTTGGCTCGCAGGCCTTAGGCTCTGACTGGGAATCGGCTGATATCTGCAAGTGCTAAGGAACAGAAGCATGGTTCTCAGAACTTTAAGAGCTGTACAGAGCTGTTCAGAACTGTTCAGAGCCAGAACATGGTCATATGCGCATCTCTCTTTGAGAGATCAACTGGATATGCTTTCACAAAGTCGCCGAATATCCCGTTCCCGGGAGGGCATACAGCCCTTAAGGGGCAAAAATACCATGAGGAGGAAGAACGAGAGTTCTATGCATCAAAAAGTCAATGTACGTTTTTACGCTGATGGGGTACAAAAAACGTCCCCAGGCAGGCTCGAACTGCCGATCTCCCGATTGCCGAGTCCAAATGGACTGCGATAACAGTCGGACGCCTTAACCAGCTGGGCCATGGAGACATCTGATTGGTTAGGTCGACACCGCGCGTGTCTCAAGTCGGCCTGAGTATCATCGAGTCGGAAGACGTGGTCAAGTTAGGACATTGAAGGTAGCTTCTCGGCGGCGGTCATTTAGCCGTACGTGTCATTGGAAATATGACCAGTCTAGACGCTCGGATGTGACTGAAGGAATCAGGGCCTGGATCTGACTGGGAATCTGGAATCCGGATGCCTTGAGTGTTCATCTGGTAAGAGTCTCCAATGAGGGAGAGGGCGTAGTACCAGCTCGAGAAAGACAAAAAGGCTAGAACTTTCTGGCGCGGCGGTAATCGTGTTCACTACTCTACACAGCCTCAAACTTGATTGCTGCCTGTGCCACTGTTGACCACCGCAGCAACTCAGGACGCATTGTTGGCCACTCTCCAATAGTGCATCAAACAACATAGCAGGCGCTAATGGTAAAAAGTTTAATGACAGAGTTTCTTGTAGGATGGGTCTGGGAGTAGGGGATGCAAAGAAAAGAGAAGATGCAAAAATAAATTCGTCCCCAGGCAGGCTCGAACTGCCGATCTCCCGATTGCACAGCTATTGCATAACAGTCGGACGCCTTAACCAGCTGGGCCATGGAGACCAATTGTTGAAGATCTACTGAGAATTTTGGATACATGGGGTTGGAGGCTTTATATACCCATTAGGCCTCGCAAGGTCCTTTGATACAGAGAATGTCTTGTCGGTCTAGCCCGCCGAGTGGTTGCAGCCTTGCAAGAGAATCTACTATTGATATTACCGAATACAAAAACATTTAGGCCTGCAGGTATTAGGTTTTAAGACAACAGAGTTGGGTCAATAGAATGGTGGTAAACTGCGACCTGGCAAAAAAATAAAATAAAATAAAAGGAACAAAAAATCGTCCCCGGGCAGGATCGAACTGCCGATCTCCCGATTGCTAGGAGCAGCTAGCTTAACAGTCGGACGCCTTAACCAGCTGGGCCACGGAGACCACTTGTTGAAGAACGCCGAAAATGAAGAGTTAATATCTAGAAAAATTAAGCCCGAGAGAGGTAGAATGCGAATGCTGAACCTACACCAATAGGACAAAAAGACAGCTTTGCTGCTATGTTTGTTGGCTAATGTATGATGGGAAGGAGATCAGCATGGTCCGGCAGAGACCTCATTGTTTGGCCTCAATATTATACTCGTCCTTGCGATGGTGATATCGACGGTCAATATATTACACCTTTGTTTTGCTGAATGGCTCATCTATACATCTCTCAACAGGTATACTGCATTGCGTCGTGCTCACGTATATAATGCCTTCCGTTCTATAGTTGGTGTGGGAATGAATGCATCCTAGTATGGCCTTGCTTTCAATATAGCTATCAGCTACTGCATCAGCACACGCAGTGTATATATTTTTGTGTGATCCCCGTCAAACGTTGTTGTATTGAGCTATCATGGAGATATATATTCCCCGCCATGGAGAGATTGGCGTACCTCCCCACCAAGCCAAGTAGACAGACTATTCTAGCCAAATGACACAATTGGATATGTTGGAAATACACACCAAAACCATGATCACAATAAACATCAAATTAGCGCCAACAATGAGCGCTGGCAAGTATTCAATTCATATGCTGTTCAGCAGGATTAGGTATGATGACTGTTTGAGCCGTGTAACGACGTCATACCCACTTTGACCGGAACCGTAACAAACTCATTGAACGCAACAAGTCAGCTTCTCAAACCACACATCATGGGACAATAGCGTCAGAAGCCATCAGAAAATTACTCGAAATTGATAATTCTGAGAACAGAGCCGTGGTATAATGGAGAAGGGGCTGTCGCAGGACGACTTTGTAAGTCGCCAGATCCTCACCGGAGGAACTGCCAAAGCTGACCTGACGGAAGGATCATGGAGGGGCAATCAGCGACACAGAAACGCATAACCAGCTGGAGGTACGACAAACGCACAAACGCACCAGGAATTGGTCTCTGAACCCTCTGCTAACTGCCAATACCCCTGCCTGATAGGTCGTGCTTTACCCCGATTACAGTCACCGCCGCAAGTCGTCCTTGGTTTCGGTAGACGACCCAAGATCCAGACCACACCCTGACAATACGGACGAGAGAACGGCATGTTTCGTGCACTCATTGATCATGGGTGAATGGATAACACCGCTATCCAAAGACATCCGACCAGATGTGAAGCCAAGCAAAGCGCACGAAACAACTCCACAAACGAGCGTCGTCGACGACGACGCGATTAAACCATCTGAGGCGAAGGACCGAAAGGCTCTCAGGACACTCCCTACAGTGGTGCAATCACGGCACCTGACCAAGAAGCAGCTGTCGGATATGGCATGGAATGTGCGCAAGCTGTCGAAGAAACTAGGGAGCATCAAGCTCAAGCTTACGGTGAAGAGCGTATTGTTGGTGACAAAAGTACGCGACGAATCTCTTGTCGTACTTACACGGAAGGTTACCCAATGGCTGCTCTCCAAGGATCGTTCTACAAAATATGTCGTCTACGTGGAGAAGCGGCTGGAGACGCATCCGGACTTTGGAGCGATTCAACTCGTCCAAGAAGAACCTACAGCCGAAGGCCGGCTCAAGTACTGGGATTCAAATATGGCTTGCGAGGAAGCACATCTATTTGACTTTGTTGTTACACTAGGAGGGGACGGAACAGTTCTCTACACGAGCTGGCTTTTCCAGCACGTCGTACCACCCGTACTCTCATTCTCCTTGGGGTCTCTTGGATTCCTGACTAGATTCGATTTCAACCAATATCAGAGCACACTAGAAACGGCGTTTAAGGACGGTGTCGTGGTAAGTCTCAGACTGAGGTTCGAGTGCACGATCATGAGGAGCAATCGGCGGCCGGAAGACGACGCATCAAACATAACGAAGCGGGATCTTGTCGAAGAACTGATAGGAGAGGAGATGGAAGGAACATTGACCCATAGACCGGACAAGGTTTTCCAGATCCTCAACGATGTCGTGCTGGACAGAGGGCCGAACCCCAGTAAGAGCGTCCCTGAATGCACTACGCCTTGCCGGGAAATGGATCCCTGACTGACCCTATCAGCGATGTCTCAAATTGAGCTGTTCGGTGACAATGAGCATTTCACGACGTTGTTAGCGGACGGCGTCTGTATAGCGACGCCTACCGGTTCGACGGCGTATAATCTCGCAGCGGGAGGTTCACTGTGTCATCCAGAGAACCCCGTCATTCTCGTCACCGCAATCTGTGCCCACACTCTGTCTTTCCGACCGATTATATTGCCAGACACCATTGTTCTACGTATGGGAGTGCCTTATGATGCCCGAACGAGCTCATGGGCAAGCTTTGATGGTCGAGAGAGGTGGGTTCTGTGACATGGAAGCTACACTGAGATTCGCTGACAGCCATGGTAGAATCGAACTGCAGCCGGGCGATTATGTGACTGTATCCGCATCACGGTATCCGTTTGCAAATGTGCTACCCCACAACCGACGTGGTGAGGACTGGGTCCAGAGTATCTCCAAAACTTTGAACTGGAATTCGAGGCAAAAGCAAAAGACCTTCAAATAGCGCATGCTGCTGCCAACGCGGCGCCAACCTGGATATACTGGTATGCAGTATGACTTGTATACAGAGGAGCCGTCTTACATTGTTGCATACGAGTATTATTGGGTGAAAGGCATGCACCTGACGACGATCTCTCACTCATTCGCTCTCGTCTGCTCTTGTTCAGTTTCATACAAAGCGCATAATCTTGGAATCATCTATTTTGGTGGCCCTCAAAGGCATGTCATTGTTGGATATCGCATAGCCGAAGATAATTATCTTGAGTAATGGAAACTGCAGTCCGATCGAACCTTCGATTTTGTGTCGTTTGTTTTGAAGATTTTCTCTTCTGCTCTTCGCTCTAGAAGCTTCGTATGGGTCGGTGGGTTTCCCGGGCAGCCTCAGGCAGACTATAAAAAGCCTTCCGCCGCCGCAAAAATTCTTCCCTCTGCTCTTCCACAGCCAACAACCATTCGAATTTGCACAGCAGCATTGTCCGCTCAATTGACTCTGGAGTTACATGCAGACTCCTGCAGTTGATTTAGCTTTCAAGATATGTGACAATAATATTACTTTTGCTCATTCACAGCGCACCATTTCGCGACTCACTAACTCTGGGTAAGTCTTACCTTTTTTTCTGTCCTGTCTCGATCCTCAAATCGACCAACAGAGCCCTCTGGCTCTCTTATGATGAAAATTTTTTCCTACATTCGCAGTTTCCACGCTAGCCGTCGCCATGAACCCATCATAGACGTGCTCTGTGCGCATTATCTTCCTTGGATGTCTGATTCTTGTTGGTCATTTGGCATGGATTTGAGCATGACTTTCTGTCACGGTCAATGAATAGGCGCTAATAATGGCTTTCAGTATAGGTTGATTGAAATTAAGATTTATCGTGGTCGTTGACGGGGTGGATTGTGCGAAGTTGGTGTCGCTGGCCTGGCCTTCTGGATATTGGATAGCTCCAAACGACACTGTCTCGACTAGACTGTGTTGAAGATAGATATAATGATGAATTTGCTCCCAGAAAAGCTTCGTTCCTCTCCTGTGTCTAATGTGCTTCCACTCCGTAACCACGTAAACATTCAGATCAGCGCTTGTAGCTGTCGCAGACCTCGTACCAAATCCGAAAGCAAGAGAAATTATAGAACTGGATAATATCTGTGGAAGCAATTCCATGTGTAAAGCAGGCTCACCAGTTGCTCGTAGTCTGGTATAAAGTGCGTGCGATGTGCAGTGTTGTATGGCCTTCAAGCGCCCGACGGAGAGTGATGATGGACATCTCAAACCTCCATGGTCAACTCGCCTTATCAACATCCAACATCGCAGCTCGAGAAACCAACGACCCCCAGTCAGACTCCCTCGTGCATTAATTTTTCTATCAACACAAGATGATGCAATGATCATTTGAATTACTACCTCTCTCTACTCCGTCCCGCAAATCTCCCATCCCCAGCGTAGCAACAACCGACCACAACCGCCATGTCAGAATCACACCCCGCCAGACACTCGTCGATGCTGTCCGCCAGCACCAGCGGAACAAACATAGCTGGCACCGCTGACAGACAGCCACCCCCAAAGCAAGTGACGACAGTCGCGCAGCAAAGCCCCGGTCTGCGAATCCCGTCGAACCGCAAGACAATCTACGACAGACATCTGAACCGCAGTCGAAATGCGGAGCTCAGTCGGGCAAGCTTCGCCTTTCTGTTCGCGGAGATGGTCACATATGCTCAGCGAAGAGTAACAGGGATACAGGATCTAGAGCGCAGGTGAGTGCATGGCGCTTTTTTGATAGATTCGTCGCTCCATTCTGACAACACGCCAGATTAAACGAACAGGGCTACCCCCTCGGCCTCCGTCTCCTCGACCTCCTCTTCTACCGCTCCATGTCCTCCTCCACATCGTCCGCGCTATCGAGCTCCTCGACCTCTGCCTCCCCTCCTAATCGACCCCTCCGCATTCTCCCCCTGCTCCATCTCATCCATGGGCCCCTCTGGCGCCTGCTCTTCCAACGCCCCGCAGACGCCCTCGAGCATTCTGTGTCCCCCGAGACACCCAACGAGTACATGATTACGGACAATGACCCGCTCGTAAACACGTACATTAGTGTTCCGAAGGAGATGAGCATGCTCAATTGCGCTGCCTTTGTGGCGGGGATCATAGAGGGGGTTTGTGATGGGTGTGGCTTCGAGGCCAAGGTTACGGCGCACAATCAGCCTACGGAGATGTGGCCCGGGCGCACGATCTTTTTGTTACGGTTCGGCGAGAGTGTCATGGAGAGGGAGAAGGTGTTGGAAAGGGCTGGGGTGAAATGAGTGAGTGGATGGCTGATCGCTAAGCCATTGCCTGACGGGATGACCACAACGGGATGCACGAGCCTTGCGAAGACTCTGGGAGTTATCGCATTGGATATCAGGGAAAGGAGTATTACAGAAGAATCCGTCACATCACGGCCAAGTCGTTTACATTTGTTACAATGGGAAAGGGAAGGATTGCTTTACCAAGCGAGCGAGGCCTTGTTAGACGCTGTGTTTGTATCTGCAAGCATGATGTCTGTTTTATCTTACACACTCCGTTCACCAGCCCAGATACAGGCTATATATCCAAACCCCCAGGAGAGAAAAAATATTAGATATGAATAATAACAAAGGCAAGTACCTGTCGCAACGGCAATGCAACACAATCCCGAATCCCATCCGCATTTTTCATGGTACCAGGAACTCCAAGAACATAATGATTCCTTCTCATAAGCCCGTCTATGTAGCATCGTCTGTACGCCGTCGCTTGTCGCGGTCGTCGTATGGCGAAGGACTCCGTTTCCTTCGACTGCTGGTATCCGGCCTGTATCGGTCTCTTGAGCGGTCTCGGTCACGACTACGGTCACGGCCATGGTCACGATAGCGGTCACCGCCACCATAACTGTCTCGCCGGCTATCATGTCTGTCATCTCTACGGTCGCGGTGACGGTCTCGCCTCGGCGAATATGACCTTGACCGCGACCTTCGTCTCTCGCGTACGGTACTGGCGTTGGCTCCTGTCGGACCCTTGGGGCGATCGTCCGGACGGTCAGGTAGGAATCGCTCGTCTCGGATACCGAGAGGGGCAGCCTCCCGACGGCGGGAACGATTGTCGAAGCCGTCTCCAAAGCGTCCTGTATCCTCCGTCCTCAAGTCCTTGTATCGTGTCCTGCCCTTCTTTCCCAGCTTGGTCATATCCCGAATTTGCATATATTCAGGCAAGGTCTCACGAGCAACATCGTCGGCGAACCTCTGCCCCATGACATTTCTCTTGTCAAGTCCTTCGCGTTCCAGATCATCACGGAAGAAAGCACCCTTGTGGAAATAGCGCTGCATAAACCCAGTCTGGCCACGACTGGCTTCTTTCTCTTGCTTCTGCTTCTCGATAAACTCGCGGTCTTCGCGTTCGCGCTCTTCCGCGGTAAGGTTCCGACGACGCTCGATCTCTTCCCGCTCCTTCTCCGCTGCCTCGATGGCTTCGCGCTCTCTCTTGATTCGCTTCAGTTCCCGTAGCTTCCAAGCGGCATATTCTGCTTCTGGATCCACGCCATCCCGATCATCGATGGCACCTTCTTCGCCCGCTTCAACCACCTCGTCGTCATCCCACGCTCGGTTCGCCGTTGTCCGCGCAATCGCTTCTTTCTCCAATTGCTCGCGGACCAGCATGTCCGCTTTCTCCTGTCGCTGCGCCTTGCGGGCCTCCGCCTCCGCCGCCGAATCGGCAACATTAGCGGCATTTTGTGCTTGATTCGGTGCGTTGTTGCGCTTGTCTTTCTTGATGAACGTAGGCCGTAACAGAACCCTCCGGGGAGCCTCCTCTTCTGAACTGCTCTCTTCTTCCTCACTTTCCTCCTCCTCCTCCTCCTCTTCTTCCTCTTCTTCATCTACGCCTGCTTGCGCCGTCACAGTCTCCGCTCGGTCGCCAGCAACACGAGCGGTTACCTTCGGCGGCGCCTCTTCCTCCTCCTCCGTCACAAACCCTTCCTCGTCCTCCTCCTCTTCAATCTTTACATCTTGCACGCCTCTTGTGATCCTCCCAGCAGCAGCAGCGCCAGCAGGGAACGAGGTCGCCTTTGGAGCCTGTTGCTTCTGCCGTTGTTGTTCCTGTCTGCGCCGCTCCTGCTCCTGTATCTCTTCCTCGGCGTCCTCATCTTCTTCAGATGACGAGGGTTCCTCCGCGATCGGTTTTCCTGGCCGGTAACGCTTAACTGGCTTGAGAGGGTTTGCGGTCATACCGCGATGTTGGGAGGGAAGTGGAGGAGGCATGGCGACGACAGCTTGAGAATGGGGATCAATATAACGGTGTGTCGAGACTCTATTGACTCATCTGTCGTATTACGCAGCGCGGAAATGGTATATTCTCCGCAGAAGGGGAGAATGGCTATACCGCGGAGAAAAAAGTCGATATCTCCGATCAAACATCTGCCGATTGACGTATGGAGCTCAGCCCCAGCGGGCGGTCGAGAGTGTAATGAGATCACGTGAACACGCGTTGCGCGCCCCGCGACGGAGCTTAACCATTGAAAGATATCAACCTCTCTACATCGACAACGCTGCCTATCAAACCCAGCGAACAACCACTGCACGGCCCGAAATAATTACCTCCAAGATTTCAAAGACTTCGATCCAAAAGAAGAGAAGACGAAATGTCCCTCCAAACCCCCCGCGTCCTCCCAGCCCACCTCCACGCCTTCCACCCCTCCAGCGGCTCCTCAACACACACCGTCCGCATCCTCGGAACGGTAACAGCCCTCCACGGCGACACCGCAACAATAACATGCGGGAATAACGGGGACGTCACTCTCATCCTAAAGTCAGACTCGCATCTCCAAATGGGAAAGTTAGTCGAGGTGGTAGGGAAAGTCACGGAATTAGAGGGTGGGCAGGTACGTGCCTCTGAGACCAAGAGAAAGCGGACAGAAGGAGCTAATGATGCGTAACAGGATCTCGGGATCCGTGTCCTGGCCACGACGGACTGGGGTAACCCTTCGGATTGCGGTGAGTGCCTTGCACACCTCGCCGACTTCGAGGCATTGGGAAGCAAAGCGAGCGAATGACTAATGAAAGTGGCTGCACAGACTACAAGATCTACGAACACGTCGTCGAAGTGACGCATAAGCTGAAGCCTATATTCTATGATTCCAATGAATAGATGAATTGGTTCTATTTGTGCATCTTTTGCAACGCAGTTTCGGACTATATCTCGAATCTGACGTACCCTTTATTCTGCGACAAGCCTACGGATGCCTAGTTGCTCTGAGGTGGAAGCCCGTGGAGTCTGTACGGAGTCAATGGATCAGGTTAACGCAGGGTGGTTGCTGCTCTTGGGATGCTTCTCAGACAGTTCTTTCAAAGCTTCCTTGCTTTACTGGATGAAGCAAGGGGTATAATGGCAATGATAAGGATTCGTATCAATTGCATTTGCCAATGACATGCTGAGTCTTCTGCCGCTATTTGTAGTTGGTCGGGTCGTAAGAATCGGTCTCGGTTGAAGTCAAGTCATGCCAAGTCTGTTCCTCAGTGGACTACAGCTGGACTCTGCAGAAACGTTCCAAATAAATGCATACATGCATATCTTTAGTTCATTATCTAAATGCTAAGAAGAGACATACCGCCCCTTTGATGTCATAACTAAGGAAAATTGATCCAGCAGTCAGGCTAGACAACAGGAGAGTGAAACAGGCTTTTGTGCATTTTGACAACTGTGTCAGATGGGCAGAGCAGAACGCCAGAACAACATCATGATATGGGGCACTTCGCATAAATGCATGGGAAAACACAGACTTCACTGGAATTGCCAGGAATCCCGCCCAACGCCTTCGCTAAGAAAAAGCAGACAGACTGAAGATTTGATCATGAACGAGGTGTGTGTAATGTGCGAGATCGAAGTGGAAAAAGGAAATAGTGAGAGGAAGAGAGAGGTCATAAGGCATTAGTTTTGTAATACTCAAGCCGACTCCTTGCTCGCGGGCTCCTCGGCGTTTTTGGTTCTGGAGCCGAGAGCGATGACATCGGTGGGGACTGAATCTGAGCCAAAAATGCCAGACTCCAAGGCGCCTGCACCAGTAAACTGGAATGGATCGAAATGCGCATTCTTTTGGATGTCCGGGTCGGATAGAATGGCGTGGATGAGATCTTCGTCCTCACTCGCGCCGCTGCGCCTACCCGTCCGCTGCTCGCCGTTTGCCTCCTGGTCGTCGGATCCGTTCAATGAAATATAATCGGATTCAATCCATCCAGACCAGTTGCCGCTCGTCGAGTCCTTGGGTTGCCCAAAAGAAAAGAAGGAGTCACACTGTGCAGAAGACGGCACGTCCTCAAATATATCAACAAGCATACTGTCAATATTGTCCAAAGCTTCCACATTAAATTCACCGTCGGGCATGGAAGGCAGATCTGGTCCTAAAGATCGCAGAGACTTCGGCGTTCTATTTTGACGGGGCGTCGCAGTCGTACTGCCCTGTATACGGTGAAGTTTCTGCGCGCTGAGCTTGGTAGGCGTCATGTCTGAGCTTCCCTCCAGGCGCGCTTTGGACAAAGGTGAGATACACGGCAACGAATTGCGCTTCTCTCCCAGCAGGTTGCTGCGCTGGTTTCGTCTTCTGGGGGTAGGGCTGGCGGGCAGATCATATTCAAAAGGCGGACTCTTGAATAACCCTTCTATGTCTTTGTCAATCGCCGCGTTTTCCTTGTCTTGAGGCTTTTGACCTGGATCGCGACAGTTAACGCGAGGGCTACGGCGTGGACTGTTCAGGGCTGAACCGCCCAAGGGCTTGAGAGGACAACCTTCGTTCTGAGCACTATGAAAGAGCGCTCTTCTCACTGGCTTAGGTGTAAGGCTGTTCTCATCAACCGCCGGACCAGGGCGTTTCTCAAGGTTTCGGGCTGGGCTGGACTGGATAGCCCGCCGCAGCGCCTCCGTTGCATCTTGCTGCTGCCAACGCTTTTCTGCGGTGTCCGACGACCGCCGTGGCTCAGCGCTATTGGCACGACGCCGCTGGGACGGCACTTCTTGAACATCGTCGTCATTGTCTCGATCGTTTCCATTCTCGTTGCCATTATCTGCGCGCGGGGTTTCCTCTTCAGCAGGCGACGAGGCATCAGACGCACCAGGGGAGGACCCAGCCGGCTTTGACGACTGGGGCTTGGGGTGTATTTTCGCCAAGGTACCATTGTCCGAGAGCGGGCCTCCTCCCTTACGGTTCCGGGGCATCCGCTTCTTCTTCCCGCTGGCCGGCTTATTCCATCTGTTCTCAGGGCGCATACACTTGAATTTATGCAGCCAAAGACCGCAGGCTTCCTGTATGTCAGCAGCGATTCCAGTGGGGAAAACAACCTATCGACTTACGGTTACAGAGAAGGATCTGGACAAAGTCATTGTCGGCGTCAACCAAGGATTTCTTGAACATTTTGAACTTTGTGACCTCATCCTTGTCATTCCTTTCCACAACCTGCCAGAATAGCATGGTGGGATCCTTCATCAGCTCATTGGCATCGGATTCCCCTCCAACAAACTCCTTTGACCAGGCCCTGCGCCAAGTGGGAGTTTCAATGGCCCCACAGTTCTCGCAGTAAGGAGGGACCTGACCGTCTCGTATACACTTATCCAGACGTGCCTGGACCTGCCTGAGCCTTCTTGCCCCCGCCCCACTCCGGACTTTGCCATCCTCGGTCACAGGCTTCGGCGTAGGCGTCTCAGCGCTGGGGAGGTCGCTCATGGGGCCTGTCCAGGAATGGGCATATTGAGCAGGAACATGTGTCGGGACGACGGGGTCACTTGCGGGGATCGCATTCATGAGTTGCTCCAATTCACTTTGTGAGATGGGGGCAGGAGCCAAAGGCTTGGGGGCCTGTCTGAAACTCGCCCGCGAGGGTGGCCTCGAGCCGGCCGCACTGGCAGGACCGCGGGTTGGGGCAGGAGCAGGAGGAGCGTTCTCAATCTGATTCTCTGGTACTGCAGAAGGATTGATAGGAGAGCTGGCCTGTGCTGCAGCGTCCGTTGCGCATCTGCGCTTTGGTGCGTCATTCGAGATCGACTTTGCACAATCCTCCAAAGGAGTACCCATATCATCATCCAAGAGATCATCCAGGCCACCGCTCATGAAACCCGAGTCGGGATCGGTTACCATAGGTGGAAGGACGGGACTAGATGGATTGGGAAACCCGCAATCCAAGACCGGAGGCGAAGAAGGCATACTGATTGATGGTTCGAACAGACCCTGGTAGCGCGGCTCCTCCGGCGAGTGAGAGTTGTGATCACCTGGATCATCACTCATGGGGTATGGTGAAGTATAGTTACTCTGAACAGACGATTCGCGTAGGAGGCTGGGGGCAGGTCGCCCTCTGCGTGGGAGATCGTTCGATCCAGAGATAGGTGTTGGCGGCCGGACAGGCTCCTCGTTCGAATTCTGGGCAGCAGTAATAGCGGGATTGACAGGGGTAGGACGGTGAATCCGAACAGAGGCAGCTGTACTGGCTGCGACACGCAAAGAGCTTGGCTGTCTCTCAATGTTGAAGTCAGATCTACCTGGCCAATCCGCTCGATACAGCTTGGCTCGCTTTCGTGGCTGTTGGTCGGCAGATTCATCACAGCTTCCATAGCCTGACTGTACCGAATCCCGGCGGCTGGCATAGTGCACATGCAAAGGCAGCTCAGAATCGCGCATGGAAGCACTAGAGGAAGGGCGAATTTCCCCGTGCGACCTTTCATGCTGCAGCAGCTGCTGAGGTGCCTGCTGTATTTGAAGTTGCTCATGAAGTTGCTGAAGTTGGCCAGGTGTGGACACCCTGCTCGGAGCGGCAAGCGCGGACTGCGCAGGTGATATAGACCGAAAATTTCCGTTTGGAGCAATCGAAGACAATTCCCTTGGAGTCGACCCTTCGCTAAGTAACCGGTGAAACCGTTCAATTCCAGCGTGATCCATGGGTGATGTTGTGCGGTCAAGGGGCTGTGTGTTGGAGGGACCGAGCAGCCCGGGGTTCTGACGAAGGAAGACAGTCCATGATTGTGCGTCAAACTCATGAGGAATGATGTTGCTCAACTCCCGATATTTCTGCATGCTTTCGAGGTATTCACTCTGCATAACAGTAGGTACTGGCACCAATCGCAGTTTGACCTCCAATGTTTCTTGTGCACCTTTTGAAAAGAGACCGAGCACATTTTTGCACACACGACCCGTTACCATAGTCTTTGATTGATGTGCTGGTGCGTTGGGAGTCGGAGAGGCCGAAGCGAGGACCCACGAGAGCATCCCCTGACCGACTAACGGCGTCTCATATTCGGAATAGTCATAGGCATATACTGTGTAGTCTTGTCCCAGCTTGGCCACCAGTTCGGGACTAGGTTGTCGAAGGAAGATCAAATTAGCACGATTTGGCTTGAGCCCAAGAACAGGAGCGGCCCACCTCGCAGACACAATGGCTTGAATGCACGTTTTCAGCTCGATGACACCAATCTGAGTTTGCTCATCCAGGGATGCAGTCTGGATGTCGAGTAAGTGAGGCCACCGGGCCAGGCAATTCGTTTTACTCTCATCGTCAAATGTGTAGAGCACCTTCACTGTAATTCCGCATTCAATGGTTAGCATCAACAGACTGTATCTGACAGAGCAAACCCACGCCTCATAGGCCGGACGGATATTCCGTCCTGAGATTCCATGCCACAAGGAATCCGATCTCAACCATAAGCCAAAGTAGCTCTCAATTCAAAATAGAATTGGAGATAAATGACGTTCGGAGGTTTATGAAGAAGACGCAAGCGACTCGTTCAGGTGTGTCGGACGCTGAGGAACAAGGGAGAGGCGAGAGCTTGAACGCGAAGCAAGGTAGGAATTTCGAGCCGAACCCGCTACTTTCGTTTATTCATAGCCAGCCTTGATTCGATCGAAGCTTTGCGTCGACCTGGAGAATGTACAGGTATGTATGATTATGCAATACGGGACGCGGGGGAAGTCGATTGGAATGTTCAACGTGGGACGGGCAGGTAGGGGTTTCCTTGAAGCTTATATCGACAGAAGACACGGTGAAGAAGGAATTGAGGGAAGGAGTGAACTGAGAACAGCCTTTTCATCCACTGAACGCAATATGACTCGTCAAGAAAAGGAAGTAAGGATGTAATTGAGGAGATGGTTGGAGAGGAGAAAGCTAGTTATGGGAGAGAAAAGCAAGCACGCCTTGCATCCGCTGTGACGATCGCCTACAGCGTGTTGAGTGTTTCTGCCGACGCGACGTGACGCAGCCAATCGCGACCTCGGGAAAGGATGCCTGCAAAACACGGCAGAGTCGCGTCGCACGTGACCAGTGTGCGCCAAGACTCGACACCAGGGCTTGACCGCCTTTGACTAAGAAGCTGCTGAGGGCAGAGAGAGCGCAAGAGAGACAAGGGAGCAGCACTACGAAGAAGGAAGACCACCAGCCAGCGCCTTTTTATACAGCCATCATGTCGACCGATCCCAAGATTCAGTACGTGCTTACCCCTCTTTTCTCTTCAAGGCTTCAGCATGAGTCATTGATGGCATTCAATATGGTGTAATTCCGACATCAATCTGTTCCGTTCATGCTAACCAGACGTCTATCCTAACAGGGATTTGCTGAACAAGCCCAAGAGCGAACTTACGTATGTGCATCCTATATTTCACCCTTCATCATCGCATACCCTATGCTTGAGTGCATCGGACTCTGGATATGTCATGTGACAGTCTCCCATGCGATTCTTCCCTATGCTTGATCCTGTCCATCCAATTCGCACATCCACAGTTCCGTGCTATCCCGCGTCTTACTCATCTCTCTGACATTGTGCTTTTCCAGTGAATATGAGGTCGCCTTGGTAGAAGAACACGAGCTCACAGCTGGCCCCCTGTCTCTTCTCCAAACCGCTACTCGCACCCACACTCAGGTTCTGATCTCATGCCGGAACAACCGCAAGCTACTTGCCCGAGTGAAGGCATTTGACCGCCACTGCAATATGGTGCTCGAGAACGTGAAAGAAATGTGGACGGAGAAGCCGAAGGGCGGAAAGGGAAGGGGCGTGAACAAGGATCGCTTCATCAGCAAGATGTAAGTGCAGAACTTCTATATGTTACTATCAGTCGCGTTCCTAACTCGTCCTACCAGGTTCCTGCGAGGCGACTCTGTTATCCTCGTTCTGCTGAGCTGAATGGTTATCACCTATCCGCATTTCACGTGACGTGCCCGACCAATTTCGCCTGGTGTCCTGCCCCGTGCATGTTTCCTCGTCTGTGCTACAACGACATCAGGACGACGCATGATTGACATTGATACCCTTTTTCTCCCATGGATCGCGAGGCTCTCTTTGTCCGGTCAGGTTTAGAGGGTGGACCGGGCGAATCTGAGTACGACCCTAGCTCTCTTTCGGGCCGATAGCATCTGTTCATCTCTTTTGAGTTCCTCGTCTGGCTTTTGTGTTCATCTCATATGACGGGGCTGATCCGGCGTTCTATGGTTGCATCTTTGAAAAGTTAAGAGGTGTAAAGTAGTTTTGTGAGCTGGACGGTGCAAAGGAACATCATACTTATTGGACTGATATCTCTAAATCTAAGGAAAAATCCATTATTGGTAAAGGCCGGGGTGATTAATCCTCATACGGAATATTAAGCATAAAAAGCTGGCCAGAGCATTGCTCCTACGCATTTCTGGTCATCCTGAAGTAGCATTACAAATTCTAGCAGTACTCTAATGGTCACTGGTTAGGAAGTAATCAAGAACAAATACAAATCTAGCTTGACGACTTCGTCACTTGCTGATGATTCGTAGGTTCAGCCCTTAGTGCAGAACTATACTGGGATCTGAGTGTAAGTGAAGAGGAACAGTATCGCTGTAGGTATTCCGTATACCAGTGCGAGGTACCATGAGAAATGACGACGAGTAAAAGGACGAAAAAGATGAGTGTTCGAGCCAGATATATCCCGCTCCACTTATCATCCGATACGGGAAACCCACGTTCAGGAAGAAGCCAAAAAAGTATTTACTTACGCTGCCGATGAACAATCATCTACGGAGAAGCGTTGGGGAACTTGGGGATGAACTCTCGATCAGCGGCCTTCCGACTCACCAATGAGCGTCAGGCCACCGATTGTCTCTCGCATCCGCCTGCAAACTTTTAACGTCGAAGGGGTTGTTCACTATTTTGATTCCATGGCTTCCTTATATGCACTTAGACAAACGATGGGCCAACTATAAACCTGGTTGAAAGGTTTTGATCCATAGCCATCATCCGCGAGGATACCTAGCATTATACTGAGCCTGGACCACTTGCTACTATCCACTGCAATCAGGGCCAATGATGGAAACGCAGCCAGATATGAATAGTCATCAGGAAGACTCACTAGAAGCAGCTGAATTTCTTCTAGAAAGAGAAGCTTCCCCCAGCGTACGGACGACTCGAACGGCAAGCTCCCAAAGTGTGTTGAGGAGACTTTATGTTTCTCACTTCTTGTCGACATGGAACTCACGCATGTTTGAGTTCGGCGCTGTCTTGTTCCTTGCTTCTATCTTCCAGGGAACTCTGTTGTATGCCTCGATCTACGCATTGGTGCGTTCTGCATCGGCGGTGGCTCTGTCTTCTTGGTTAGGATCCAAGATGGATCGATCGAACCGCCTGGTAGCGATTCGTCACTCCATCGGTAGGTCGCTTCTCGTGCCAACATATTATCACTAAGTTGATGAATGGCTATATGATTGCTTACACTTTCTAGTCTGGCAGAGAGTACCTGTTGCAGTGTCCTGCGCATGCTTTGTAGCCCTTCTCATACCTTCAGTTCGAGAACCTGATCCATCTGAGCCTATCGTCTCGGGTTTATTTCTTGCAGTTGTTCTGCTCGCTTGCGTGGAGAAACTGGCAGCAACAGCAAACACAGTGGCTGTCGAGAGGGATTGGGTATGTCGTATCAAAGCGAATACTTCTGGACATGGAACTCTGACGTCGAGTTAGGTCATCATCGTTTCAGACACTCTAGCTATCGAGAGGCAAGGTAGATAACCAAATATCCCGATGTTATTCCACGTTGCACTGACGCCTGTACAGATTTGAATGCATCGATGAGACGGATAGATCTATTCTGCAAGCTTGTGGCCCCTGTGGTAATATCGCTCGTCGACGGCTTGTCTACAAAGGTCGCAGTCTGGACGGTCTTGGGAGGGAATGTTCTTTGTGTCTTTATTGAATACATTGCCATTGCTCAGGTGAGTTCATCTTTTTTTCGCCCTTTACATCACTTTGAGCCTGACCAGGCATTATGTTAGGTGTACGAGGCGATACCGGAACTCGTGCGGACAGCTTCAGTCCCGACAGATGATGGAAGTGGAGCTGTTGAGAATGCACCCGAAAATCCCACGGCAAACCAACAGAGTATGATTAAAAGAACAATTCACCTGGTCAAACGGGCTGCTTCGCCCTGGAGAGAGTACGTGGCTAGTCCAGTCTTCCTGGCGTCCTTTGCCTTGAGCCTGCTCTATCTTACTGTTCTCTCCTTTGGCACCACGATGGTCACATATCTCTTGCATACGGGATTCGATCCTCTGCAGGTCAGCTGTATGAGAATCGGCGCCGTGGTCGCGGAATTGTCTGGCACATGGGCAGCACCATTCATCATGGGCAGGATCGGGCCCATTAGGTCGGGACTGTGGTTCCTCAATTGGCAGCTTGGCTGTTTGGCCACTACAGCAGTGGCTTTTGCCTTGTATGACTCGCTCTCTCGGCTGGTAGCAGTGAGCCTCATTCTCGGAGTTGCTTTAAGTCGGATTGGTCTGTGGGGTTTTGATTTGTCGGTTCAGTTTCTCGTTCAAGAGGTAATCGCGTCCCACCTAAAGGCTGCTATTAGATGCCGTTGCTAATGTCTATCATGTAGGGTGTCGAAGAAGATGCCCGGGGACGATTCTCCTCAACCGAAATGGGCGTGCAGAACGTCTTTGAGATGCTGTCATTTGCAACCACAATAGTTTTTCCTCTCCCGGAGCAATTCAGATATCCCGTCTTTATCAGTTACGGGGCGATTGCGCTGGCAGGCATATGCTTTGCGACATACGTGAGAAAAGAGCGAGGACATTTGCTGCACATGGCCAAGTGTTGGGGTGTTGATAAAATGCAAAGGTCGTATCAGGAACTTCCCGGAGGCTTATGACACGATTCATCCAATTTTTTGTATAGTGATAGGACCACCACCGTACATTCTGAGCTTGACTGTACTAAAGGGTTGAAAGATGTATATATATGTGCGTGTTGTGACGCTTACTGGAAATAGCCTATGTATGTAACTCATCAGCACACCATGGAAGCACCATGATATCAGAGTATGAATGCATTCTGCCTTATTCTACAGTTGTCTGTCCGTAGACAAGGGAGATGTTAACCTGAAGTTGGTGTGTGAGGCCATCCTCGGGCTTGTGATGGTGGAGAGTGGGCCGCCCGAACTGCGGGGAAATTCACTGCTTGTTTATGTGTCTCGTCGCAGCTGCAACTGCGCGTTGCCCAAGCCAACTGCGCACCATGCCTGTTGAGCAGGGGCAGCCGACTTATTATGGAGGTAAACCATCTTTCTAACCATCGTTCATATTCTGGCGATCGTTCGTTCCTTGTAGAGTTGTTAGCTGTTCTGACTGCATTTAGGCTCCTCCCAGAGCACGGGGATTAGGCAGGTCGGG